TCCAGTAAAAAAAAAAAAAAAAAAAAAGGATCATGTATCTCACAGCCACTTAAATGTCAATGCTGTAACAACGCTTTGGATTCACAGTGCCCTCGTCTGTGCTCGGGGCAATGACTTTAATACGTGCTCCATCAGTGACTCCAACATGTCCGGGGGAAAGGATTTGCGTATTTGTAGCTGGTTTTTCAATGATTAACAGTGAGAGGTGGGGAAATGAACGAGTCGGTGCATCTTCAGTGGAGCTGTCAGAGCCATCGAGGTCTCCTTTATTACAGCCAAAACTGTCGGTTTTGACCGACTCAAATCATCACTGTTGCTGCCCCCGCTTTGTTAATAAAAAGTGTAGCCTAAAGATGCAACGACTGCAGTTTCAGTGGAGACGTCGTGTTCTTGCTTTTGTTGGAGCAACTGAATCCTGCACAAACTCAGTTACAAAAATGATTCCATTTATGGCCAAACTGTATATTTTAACAAGCTGAGCGTCATTAAGTGTAAAAAAAAAAACATGTCTCCTTCTGCTGAGTCTGTGGGCTCATCTCTGTCTGAACGCCACCTTCTAGGAGCTCCTAACCATCTGAGACACCTCTGGAACTCTCCTACATTTTGGACGAGACTGGAGTGGTTTCCTAAGCTAGAAATGTTAATAGGTTGCTCTTACTTTTATTCCTAAAAGTATGACCAAAAATGTGTAATTTGGAGAATTTTTGGACAGTTAGGAATGATTTCCTACTCTGAGATACTTGATAAGTATGGGCCCAGACCTGATTTGAGTGTAGTCTGGTCCCTCTTTGTTCACTGAAGAAGTCCTTGTGTATTCGGAGCAGTGGGCATGTTTCAAAAGACTCGAATGAGTGCCTTGTCCCTTGAGGTTGTGGTAGGGGAGGGGTGCGGTTTGCCCATCTTTTTTTGGGTTGGTGATACAGTGGTTTTGGCAAGGGTGAGTGAACTTGCCATGTCACCACCTGAGTCACTGTACATTTTCCAAAGTCAAATTCACACACACATTGTGCTCTGCATGAAAAACACAAGTCTGTGTTGGTAGGGGTATGTTGCTTCATGTACTGGTGACACAATGAAATGCAATTTGGGAAGCCATCTTGGAGGAATATGTTTAAAGTGTATTAGATGCTAAAACACACATCATAGTGATTTGTTGTACTCATAGACATGGTTAGTCAACTAAAAATTATGATACCATGCCTTTAAACTTTGGCCATGACAATCTTAAGGTAGACAGCAAAGATATGGCGTTCACGTTACAAAGTAATCCACTGGGAATACGCACTTGAATGTATATGATCGGTCAACACAGTGCAGGTTTGTAGTTGAAAGAAAAAAAAAAAATTGAACCAAATTTGGCTTTTGTACCCCCACACAACACTGCCTCCTTCTAGCGGAGTGTAATTTGCTGCTGGTCCATGCACCTCCCCCACTCAAATGAATGCATAGGGATGCATTTTAGTGAGGTCTGTTTGAATGTGGTCTAACAATGGGTCTCATTCACCAACCGGTCTTAACAAATTTGTTTGCAAAACTGACGGAGTTTTCACAAAGTTTCTGGCATTCACCATTCACTTAGGAACATTATGTGAAATAACTGGTTATTTAGTTTTCTTCTGTTCTGCAGTTATAAGATTAAAATTACAATAACAGTTTTGTCATTACAAGTATTTCTTCAAAATGTTCCTTTTATTTTACAAACAATTATGGTTTTTTAAAATGATTAAACAATACACTGAAAATTACTGCAACCTATTAATTGCTTTGTTTATAAATCAAGGTTTTAAAAATTAACTTTTTACAGTGAGGTCATTTGTAGCCTAAAATTATAAAATGTACTTAAAAACCAAACATGTAAATATCTTGATTTCTAAGTTCTGTTAATTTCTTTAAATGTTTCTTGGATATCTTGGCCAGCGTTAAGGCTGTCTGTGTAAACAATTGGTTTTCCAATTGGAGGTGTGCTCATCTGATAGCTCACCCGATGGAGCCGTATACGGCCCCCATGCTCTGGGCCAACCTGTCCTCCTCCACTGGTCGGAGTCTCTCTTCTCTGTTTGTTTTTGTTACCTCAGATTTGAGCTCAAACAATCTTTTTATTTCATCAGCTGTTCACCCTCCTCCTTGTATCGTTCACTGAATGAGCAAGAGCATACCATGCATCTTTTATTTTATTTTATATCCACTACTGACACTACAAGAGTAGGAGACTAGATTTTTTTTCTAGCTTTTTTTCACACATGAATTCCAGACTATGTCTGCAGAATCTTGGGTGGGTGGATATTTTTGTTGGCATCTTCATTGTAAATGACCATTTTTCTTCACAATGGGATGTTTGCATTCTTCCAGTTTCATGCCTGTCACATGATAGAGCACAGAGGTGGGAAGTAACAAAGTACAAATACTTAAAGTACATATACTTTGTTACTGTACTTGTGTAGATTTTTTTTCAGTTATCTGTACTCTACTTGAGTATTTATATTTCTGATAACTTTTTACTTTTTCTCCCTACATTTTAATACAAACATTTGTAGTCCTTACATTTTCAGATCAGGCTTGTTAATTTTTTTAAAATACATTTGTAGGGAATTTATTAAAAATTATTTTTTAAGCACGTACTGCAAAATATGCACACTGCTGCACTAGGTCACCTGTTCTTTTGTTTACAGTCTACTAGCTTCTCGCACTTTCATGGAATACTCACGCATGTGCAGTCGAATCTTGCTTTACTACACACTGCACAAAGTTATGGTCAATTGAAGATTTTGGGGAAACTCACACTGGTCTGGTATTTTGTAATGAAGAAACAATGTTACCCAGAGCAATGGTGTGTTTCACTGATGTGTTTTTAATCATCTTTAAACATCAAAAGAGGTGTATGGCACATACACATAAGCTGATCCATGTTGGAGAATGACAGACATGAACTGTGAATAGAGGCAGTTCATTGTTGGTTTTAGTCTTTGTGTGGGGATTCTTGAAAAGACTATGTCCTTTAAGGCTCAACTGGGTTAGAAATGTGTTCTCCTTACTTAATGTTAATTCATTTTTGTATATTTTTAATTTTATCTGAAGTTAAACTAATAATCTGGGAAATATATTAATATGATTTAAGCCTCAGGTTTGCACAGAAACAGCAGGTAGAAATGACCATTGAAGGGCTGTGTTTTACTTTTATACTTTAGGCGTGTTTAAGAGCCTGTAATTTTTTTTTTAACTTTTCCACAAGTAAAGAGTTTGAATCAGTACTTTTACTTTTACCCGAGTATGTTTTACACAGATATCTGTACTTCTACATGAGTAACAAATTGGAGTACTTTTGCCATCTTTGATAGAACATTGTCAACATGCCCACTAGCATGGTGTGAATACTCTGGACATTACACTGCTGTTTTCTCACATGGGCTCACTTCGACTCGGACATAACATGGACTTTGTACTAGGGAACTGGCAGGATGAAGTCTGCCTAATGTCACCTGACTCTGACATTTGCATTCTCACATACAGCTCCTTCAGGTAATGTCTAGATAATTTCAGGGTTCCAGTGCATGTCTGGAAAGTGCTTCTGTTTGTTCCAATGCTTATGCAAAAACAGTGGAAGCCTTTGCTCATTCTTATCCCCATAATCATATCATTTCCAGCAGTTGACCACTCAAGCTTTTCCTTTAGTTCATCTGAATTACACAATGGCTTATGAGATTTGAGTTTCTTCCTCCTGCAGTGTCAAGTCCACTTCACCCCAAACCACATCCCTCTGCACTCAGCAGCTATTTAAAGTGTCAGCGACTACTCCCAATTACTTCTCCCCATGCCAAACCAGAAGCTCCGGCCATGCAGATGGAGGCCCCCCACTGTTACTTTAGTCTGTTTGTTTTCATATTTCCCTTCCCTCAGGCAGCCCTCCTTCCTTGTGCTCTTACTGTTTTTGCCTTCGCCAAGGATTGTTGTGTTTTTCTCCAGATGACCTTGGTTATATAAACTAATGCCTGATCCCCCTTCCTTTAGTCCTCCTGCTCCCTGTACTACTACTCTGCCAGGCTCCTATCCTTAGGCGCTCCCACACAGCCCAGTGTTTTGATTACATTGTGAAACTGGAGCCAGGACTATTTATTCCCAGGCGGGGGTAGTGTGGAGGACCTGGGTGGAAGATAATCCAGAGAGGGGGAATTCATGAAGTTGCTGTGGTTGAATCAGGTGGATGGTGTTGGTGGGTGAACTGTTTGTCTTCTCATAATCACTCTCTGTGGACCAAGTATCCAGACAGCTGTTTCAAATAAGCGCCCATGGTCGCATCCCACTGTCAACACATTTTTGAACACAACCCAAAACCCATCTTTCAGTTTTGGCCATTACAGGGTGGCAGACTGAGTGGTTTAAGACAGCATCCGAAGGCATTCAGTGGCAGGACCAAGGCTCAAGCCTTTTCTGGGGAGCCCACATCCTACTGATGTGCCATGGAGCCTGGTAGTAAATCCTAATTTTAAGAGTCTTATTATAGCAATAATGTACAGTGTGCAGACTAAGTGACAACTAAGGCTGAATAATCATGCCATGGTGCAGAATGAAGCAGGGATGCATCAGACATCTCCCTGATAGGACTGCATGATGGATGAGAATCCAAATATTTAAAATGTCTACATCTTTTACACAGCACTGTATGTCATTGGCTTGCCATTTGACATCTATGGAAAGACAATATAGGGAGATCACAAAAAAGCATGCACACTGTTCCCTCTGACCTTCTCCTTGGCTGTGTTCAGATTCTTGTTGTACTGGACAATACTTACCGTACCTTGAAAAAATGAACGGAGGCCCCCACCTGCAAAGTGTGAATTAAGAAGACATTGCAGATGTTGGAAGTGGTTTAAGCTCACTTTGTACAGGAGAATGTGTCGCCTACTGGCTTGGCTGTCATTATCTGTTTCCACATTTTGGTTCCTGAAAACCTGTTTGTGGTGTACTGCACTCTGTTGTCTTTCTAAGCACCTGTCTTTCTCCAGGTCTGGAAAGATCCTTAGGGGAACCATGGAAGGACTGGAAATGGCAAGAAAATAGCACTAGACCTCCACAGGTAGGACACTAGATTTCTGTTTTTGCTGATGCTTCTGCAAAAATTATACATAGGCAAAGAAATGGTAGTCCTAGTTAATTTTTATTCTTACATAACCATTATATAGATTTTTTTTTTTTGCCCTTTGCTGATGTTCTGTACCAAAATAGCCAGATGTGTCCAGGGGCTCATAACTTTGGCTATTTTAATTATTTGCTTCACTGCATCTGAATCACACAAGTTTAGGAGTTTCCTCCTGTCATCTAAGTTTTTGCTAAAAGTTTGTGAATTAGAGTCCAGATGAATTTTGTACATTGTCCTCCTGACCTATTGAAAACAATTCAAGTACAGTTGTTTTTACACATCATTCGTTGTTGTCTGGCAGCCATGGTTGAGTTAGCTTGGCACAGACATCATTTTAAAAAATTGCTATTTTATTGACAGTTCTTTATCAGTAAAATCTGCCAATTAGTCTGTGTTTTTTCCTATTGTTCAGTAAAAAATACACAAACCAACAATGAATTCTTATGCAATTTCCCCCCCACCCCTACAAGTCACTACTTGTTTGTGCAGAATTTGTTTAAAACTACAGTAGTCAGACGTTTCACCAATTAATCTATATAAATGGGTACGGAACTCAAAGTAAAGGCAGAGATGGACTAACCCATCACAGGGAATATATCGATAGTAACTACATTACAGAATATCACCTGTCTTATCCTTGATCGTCCTGTACTTTACTATATCAATGCAACACACTAGCTGGTTTTTAATTGGTCTGGTCTTTCAGTTATTGAACTGGAAGAACATGGTGAAACCAATAAACCTCAATGCGACGTTGTCTTCATGCCTGACTGATGCCCTGTCCTCCTTAATTTGCATATGTGTCATCAGTGTTCCTGAACACACATAGTTTTGCTTATTGTGTTTAATATATGCTTGGTTGTTCACATATGTTTCATGTTTACATAAATACAACACAAATGTGAATGCCCTTAGCACCCATTATTAGCAGCCTACACACAACCCATTGTTATATAACCATAAAATCTTGTACATCATAATTTTCATTTCGTTATTTCTTACGTTTCGTTATTTCTTACGTTATTTGCTAAAATTAATGACTTACTTAGCTACAGGCTCACCTTCTTTTGTAATATTAACTCTGTGTCTTTTCTTTATGTGCTAATTCATTAGCGTCATGGTCCCCTGCCACCACAGATATGTTTAGCATATTTGGCACCAGACAGTCTTCTTTCTGTTTGTAAAATCAAACTCCCAAACTTTAGATGATTGGTTTACCACTTTTCTCTGCTTCAACCATGCTGCTGTTGTTTTTTTGAACATTTTGGTACGCCTCACCGACTTTGTCACCCAGTTGCATCTATGTAATTAGATCCAACTAATCAATAGTTACATTCATTGTCGGCTATATTTATTATTGATTTTTTTTCTTTCTTTAAATTGATTAGATGTTGCAGCCCTAGAATGTGTTCTGTGAAAATCTCCACTCGTAGTTAAGCAGTGACATGTAGTTACAGCCTTGTGCTACTGTGCATGTGGCGTGTGCTCCCAGTCAGTTTCACACAGTTGAAAGAGAACACTGTAATAAGAGAACTAGATTTGGAATGCTATTTAGTCAGAACACTATATTTTAGGCAGCTATTGGAATTGCCATCACAGGAGACAGAGAGGTTGGTACATCCCTGAGCAGACTCTGGCACAATCTGACTGACAGCACTAGTGTACATGTATGAAACTTTGCAACCTTTCTGTTGTTGTCCGATTAGTTGATCTAGCTCCTCCCAACCACTCTTGTATTGTCACCACCATTTCTGTATAAGGATGTGCACATGTAGTTAGCTGGTGTGTCAGAGGTTGTTACTGAGTGGCCTCATTTCCACATTAACTCTCCTTGTTTTGAGCACTCATCCTAGACTGAGCCATTATAGTGCAAACACAATGGTTCACTCAGCAAGACCCAGGGGCACACATTTCACATATCTACTCTTGATCAGGGTTATGGCTGTGTCCTTTCAGTTTATCTATAGACAGGCATGGAACGCTTCTTCTCTTGCAGTAGTCTGACACTGTTTCACCTTTCTGTCTTTAATGATTGGATCAATGCACTCACCCACACAATGTTTTCTAAACACACATGCTTCACACATGCCTCATTTGCTTCAACAGGTCACTTGACCTTGAGTTACATGCAAAATATCAAGTCCATATGCTGCACACACTTTACATACACACACATCTAAGGCCAATCAGAAAAAGTGTCATTTTAAGATGAATCTGAATTTGATAGACCAAAAAGTATTATATTATGTCAGTTTAGCTGCTCCTACACACAATGTGTGATAGCTTACAAGGATGACTTACAGTGTTAAAGTGAATAAAGAGTGAGTTGAACCAACATCTCAGATCTGATTTAGGAAAAAGATACACAAAGAAGTGAGTTTGTCTTGCAAATTATTTTGCTTGGCTTCATCAAGACATTATTTTGGTTTTATTAGCAGTTTGGTTGTAGGCCAGGGTTCAAAAATATACTGTTTCAATCTGACTGAAAGGGATTTCATGCTTTGCTCTCTTATATCAAGTCACAGTTTCATATAACATAGTAAACAGAATTTTTCTGGTGCGTCAATAAAATGAAAAATAACCCAATGTTTGAGTTTAAAAATAATAATTACATTAAGATGTATCAAATAAGTTAAAGGAGAGTGCACAGGTGGTCCTGAAGTAGGATTTTTGCCTTCAATGTGTGTGGCCTGGCTTTGTTCCCTGACTAACACACTATACTGAGGCACTGGGCTTTCACAAAATAGTGTGCCCTGAATCCCCTTTTCCATTGCATGGTACAGGATCAACTTGACTTGACTCTACTTGCTTTTGGTACCGGGTGCTTGCTTGCTGACAGCGGTGTCAGAACCATTTGTTTCTATGGATTGCATAGCACAAGAATGTATCTGTGCAAGGTCCTGTGTGGTGTGCCTGTGCATTGTGCTGAAGTTAAAAAAAAGTTTGAGCGCAGTGCTCAGCGATGACACCTTAACGTGTCCAATTGCAAAGAACCTGACAGACCCCAAAGAAAATGGAGGAGAAGCTGATTTTGGCGGGCCCACACCCTCTTCTTCTTTGCTTCAGCATTTCTCCATCTCCTCATCATCAATACAACTAAAGCCAGAGCTTTTCACTGAGATGTAGATAGCTACATCATGCATCCAAGTACACTGCTAGAAAAACTAGTTAATATCTGCTAACTACCTCCTGGAAAGCTTTTTGGCCGCCTAGTAATTGGCACTCAACATGTGTGCACTTTGCTCATGTGAGCCTCCCTCTCTTATTTTGTGCCCAATCCCCACTGCGAGTGCAGCACATACCATGTCCTATCTAAAAGCCATTTTACACTGCCATGACCTCATCAGCAACTAACAGTAACAATGGAGGGCATCGAAGGTAAGCTATTCTTGATTCTCGATATGTTGCTGTTTGACATATGTGGGAAGATAGCCTTGAACATAAACAAATCTTCAGTGCTATTTACAGTGTTCAGTGCATGACAGCAAAACAACACAAAATATTTGTTTAATCAAAATCACAATGCATTCAATAGGAAAAACTGCACAAAAGATTTGTTTAATGCAATTAACAATGAAATCAATAGGAAAAAAAAACATACAAAACATTTGATACAATTTATAAATGTGTTCAGATCCTTCCTGTCGTGTAATGAACTTCAGCAACTGTGGCAGTATGTTGAACAATTTTATAATATGGCCATTTGAACTTGTGGCCCATGGCCCTCAAGAAAGCCACAAGCTACTATGTTTTGGTTTTTATATTGTCAGGATTTTTGCTATTCAAGTAGTGCATAAGACCCTCTTGTACATCCCTGCCCTTTTTGTCAACACCCTATGACCTCGGTTGTGATCCATGGTGGAAATTGGCAGCTCTCCAGTCAACTAGCAAGCTAATGTCTCATTAACACTTATTCCTAGTCTACAGTTATACACGTCATAATAATAATATTAAACACCCTGTCTGCTGACAGTCATCAACTTTTCTCTCTAGTTATCCTTGACCAGATGTACCCTGTAGAAACTCATAAGCATGCCTAAGCATTTAAGTCTAACTAGACATCCTATCTCCACTACACATTTCTAATACATAAAGTATCTATCCAATTTCTATCTGACTAAAAATACCTAACAGGACTGTCATCAAGATATTTGTCAACAGCAGATCCCAATCAAGGTCATAATAATCATCAATAAACCCAACATTATTTAAATGTATCTAGTCCATATTTATTAAATCTAACCTAGCCTGCAATGCTCCACCTGTGCTGCTCCTCAAGTCTTCCCCAAGTTCCTTGGCCAGTGAACACAATCCCCCATAGAAATGAATGGTAAGGGCTGTGTTTTTTCACACCTTTGAAACTCAGTCTGAACGCCTTAGTGTGTGTGTTGCCGTGTACAGACTAGAAGGATGTGGTCATCTCAGAAAGTGGCTGCTAATCATAAAGAGTCTCCAGAGGACTGTAAATCCCTGTCAGGCCATTTGTTTTATGGGATTAAAAGTCCCTGATGACAAAGATGCCACTTTTAGTAAGGGCAGTGTCGGGCTCTGCTGTGTCAGTCATACACTACAAGAGCTGGCGTCTTCTTAAATCAACCGATTCAAGAGTCCTAGCCTGAAGCACCCAGTTTTTCCATTTTTCCCCTTTCAAAAGTAAACCCCCTAACTACTGAATATTTTTTAAAGTATGTCTTTGCTCCTTCTTTGTTTGTCTGCACATGAAAGTGTTAAACTGATGATGTAATGCAAGTGCATTTGAAATTCCTTATCTTTGTACCGTTAGTGAGACAAGGTGACTTTCCTGGAGCGTGGCAGCTGGGACACCCACAGCAAGCAGAACAACGTAATCAAATAATGTAATTTCTCTCTCGTCTTTTTTTTTTTTCTTCTTGACTGCACTTTCATCACAGAGAAATGAAGAGCAGGGCCTGCTCACT